CACAACCCATACCCCCTATAGCGAATTGCTTTGGCTGTATTGCTCGCGAGGCGCAGGAACCGGTTGGTGGTCAGTCGCTGTGTCAGGTGTCGAGTGTCAGGAGCAGCGACGCGGTCAGCGGAGCGCAACCAAGTGTATATAGGCCGCGGCGACAAGCTTATCCTAGGGTGCGAGGCAGAAGCGCTAGTCAGTCACACATCTCCGTCAGCAGCGCCGGCAGTGGTGTCGCCATGAACAAGTACTTCCCAGGGATCGGCCGCATCGAGTACCGGCCCGATGCCGGACCCGAGGACACGCTGGTCTTCCGGCACTACAATGCCAAAGAGACCGTGCACGGCCGGACTATGGAAGAATGGTTGAAGTTCTCCGTCTGCTACTTCAACACCTTCAGGTGAGTTCTCGGGGGGGAGAGGGGCAAGGGCAAGCCTATATCCATATGGCGAGTTTTATTTCACGTAAAACGAGGCCATAATGTCCTTGCAGGTTTTGCAAAAAACGTAATTTTAGATGAAAGTTCTTAAATAGCTTTTCCTTAATCGATCCACTCCAAAAAAACAACAATAATCTATAGTAAATATGAGCAATGAGGTTATTAAAAATGTACAATTAGTGGCAGGAAGACGTTACGCCCAAAATAAGTTTACTAAGAGATCTTCATTAGTGTATCTAAAGTCCATTTTCTTACCAAATAAGGGTAGATCCTGTTTCTCGTTCTTAATCATGCTCAGAAGTTATTTCTCTCACCTGTCGGGATAAAAATCAGGTAAAATATCTGATAAAAATGAACAGAGTTTATATCTTAAATTACGAACACTATAAACCACGAAAAAAAAACTATCTGCGCCTGGGTCATGGGGAGTTGATAAAAAAAGCACCTTTAAGATCAAAATGGAGTGTGAGATATATGAATAATTGTATGTCGTAGATAGGTATATAATACATATAATATCATACTCTATTGATAAAAAGGCTTTCTACAACTTTTTATAAACACCGTAGTATGTTTAGATATGGGAAGACAGTAAGAACGGTTGGCAATATATATAAATATAGATATAAGAGAAAGACAAGCCATTTGACATTTTTTTACAAGACGGTCAGTGGGCGGGGCATCTACGCCTTTGTATCCACAGCTCTCAACTTTTCCACTTACAGTTCAATATATATTTTTTTTAAGTCACACCTTTCCACCTCTTCGCTTACGCTACCCACGCCTATGCACCATCCCCCTTGTTATTTTTTCTTATCTATTTACACGCGTAACTTTTCCATCCAGATTTTCCTGCGCGCATCTCTTAATAATTCATTGTTGTTTGGCATCTTCTCGATTCGATTTCTCGTCTTTGTAGCCATCCACGTTCGGCTATTTCCACCTTCGCGTCTTTTTACAGCCTTTCTATTTCCTCTCACACACATTTTCTTAACCTTTTAGCTATTTACACATTTTAACTCATTTCTACAATATATTCGCATCTCTTTACATTCCGACGTGTCTTTTTTCCTGCCTCTCTACGCATTTTTTTTATTTTACTATTCCACACATATATTAGCACCTCTCCACATTTCCACACGCTTTTCCGTCGGTCCACTTATGCATTCACACCCTTCCACCTTTCCACCCGAATCTCTCCACCTCTCCATGGCCAAATGAGTGGATTTGGAACGACGTTATGCTATGGGAAAACTATATTAAACATAAGATTGATAGTTTCGATTTCCTGCTCTAATCCTTAATAATATAACCATCATTTCAAATAAAGGGAAAAAGGAACATGTATATGTCCGTGTGTGTACGTGTGTGCAAAAAGATACATACATGCATACCTGTCTCTCTGTTCTTCTATCTGTTTTTGTATGCATATAAATGGTGACCATAATTCGCCAACCCTATAAAATAAGCAAACATTTGCAAGTATCAGCTATGTAGGACTCTTTTTTAGTGTATTAATATATATATATATATATATATATATATATATATATATATATATATATATATATATATATATATGTATATATATATATATATATATATATATATAATTTTCAACAGCCATTCATTCCACTGCAGGACATAGGTCTCTTTCAATTAACTATTGAGAAGTTATATGGCAGTGTCACCCTTGCCTGATTGGATGTCCTTCCTAATCAATACACACATTATATATATGTATATATGTGTATATATATTTACACATATTTATATAAATATACATATCTACATATCTACATATATATATATATATATATATATATATATATATATATATATATATATAGATATATATATATGTATATATATACTGCCACGATGGCCCAGTGGTTAGAGCACTGGACTATCATGGTCTCGAGTTCAATTCTACGTCGCGGCAGTCGTAAAAATGCCTGCGCTCTGACTGCTTGCTCGGGCGCAATCTCACGGCGAGGAAATGACATAGCGCCTTGAGAAGTCAAACGCAAGTGGTAAGCGTGCCGAACCGCGGCTGATTAGGAAAGGGTG